TCTGTTGACATGTTGCCAGATTTGAAACAGGAAAACCACTCGTAGACCTGTGATTTCCCCAAAGCATCATCATTAAAGGCTTGCCGAAGCATCCCAACAGTCTCGGCTGCAGTTTTCCCTAACAGAAAGCAAAATTTCACGCACACTCTTTGTTCCTTCTGGTCGGCCATCTCACTAATCGCCAAAGGGTTGAAACAGGAACGCACACAACAGAGCACCACAGACAAACCACTTAACTCAGACTGATGCCAGCTCACTAACAGTCACGGGAGACCCCGAGCTAACACCACCTAGCAGCACAACTCATAATTACAAAGCATGCGCGTGCAACAGGTCGGTTCCGGTTATTTTTGGGTCCCCCTTCGTATTGCAGTGAAAATGATCTGACGTCAAAAGAATCCAGCAGATACTAGGACTGATATGCCAAAAGAAACTGCACTTGCAACAACTCATGTTCCTTTCTTGCATCCCTCTTTTACCTGTCCTTTATCTCTGCAGAATCTGTTAATGAATTGTTGAGGCAGTGCTGCAGTAAATTGGGCAACAATGTCAGTGTCGCAGTTCACAGTTTTACTTGCATTGTTACATAAGTTGTTTAGATGACTGCAAATTAATGGTCAGCATGAGAACAGAAGAATAGCTTAAATTGATATTCATATACAAAATGCCAAAAAGAAGGGGTTACAAACTGTGTAGCCCCAGGCAGCCACTTGGTTTGCCCATGCTTTCATGTTGGCTCTGATTTATAATGAATTAACTTATTGAATGTCTCTTTTCGATCAAGTGGGAATACAGCTTTTTATAATATCTGAGATTATTGAATTAAAGAATGGACTTGCCTAGAAAAATTTGGCAATATCAGATAAAACCAAAGGCGAAAGTTCTAGCAGAGTATTTGTTCAGCAAAGAAATTTTATTTATATATGTATATATCTGGAGTGCATTTATTATTTAACTGCAACTTCCAAGCAAATCATGAACTAATGGATAAGAATTATCTTCTCAAACAAGCAAATAATTATAGAACTTCTACACTCACCTTGCAACATGGTCCACCAGCTGTGTCTGCAGCAGCAAATTCTTGCCTGGCAGCAAGAAATCACATATGTTGTTCTGTGAACTTCTGACTGCAACACCATTACCAACACACAATGAGCACAACACATCAAGGACCTTTGGATCTCGGCCATGCTTCTCCAGTAGGGAGATAATAACTTTAATGTGCTCATCCTGTAATAAATACAATATTTACTTTTAAATAATATATGCAGATAGAATCATGTCAGGTGGGCCCCTTGTCACCATGGCATTAGGTCATTCTTAGATTGCAGATGGAGGAAATGGCTTCCAGACATGGACAGTAGCTGTGAATATAGTGAATAAGCAGTTGCAGACAGCCGACAAGGAGTAGTCCTCCACCTTTGGGGATGAGCAGAGTGATAATTCCTCACAGTAAAAAATAAGCTTGTTACAAAATGTAACCGAGGGCCTTGAATCTGGATGGATTCTTTGGATAAACAACCTAAGCTAAAGAAAATGGACATGAGATGTGGTTATGTGGAATGTAAGACATCTATATAGGGTAGGTTCGCTTGTGACAGCTCTGAAAGAAATATCAAAATATGAGTTAGATTTAGGGGAGTACATGTGATCGGATGGGACAGAAGTGGCACCAAACCAGCAAGTGAATATATATTGTTACATGTTGGGTGCATGTCACGTGACAAGTAACTTCACGTCTTATTTGATACAGTGAATTTATTGAACATTCACTCTCATAACCACACAATTTACAACCTCACAATTACTGCCATCGGCAGTATCACAAATACTTCCCCTGTAGTCACTGCCATGCACTCGACACAACCTGACTCGGCGACTGCTACAATTCAACTGGTAACTCCCTCTCTCTAGTAACTGGTTCAATCCTCACTACTGAATAGTGTTCGCTGCTCCTTATTTAGCCTCAGCACAGACAACACAGAAAACAGTTATGTGATAGGTACCGCTGTTGCCTGATACTGTGTTTACAGGTTGCCTAGCAACACTGTCAAGAGTTGTTTACTGCTGTGTAGTAACCGCGGTATTCCTTCTTACGTCACTGTGGGAAGTGATGTTACGTCACCGTGGCAATGGTTGCCTGACACAGTTGCTCCTCTGTTACGTCACCGCAGGGGAGGGGGTGTTTACCGAGTGTTGCGTGATAATGGAAGTGGTGGGGGCATGTGACGTCACTCACGAGACCACAGAGTTCATGTGACCCTTACTTCCCATTGTGCCATCCATGTCACAATATTTTTCTACGGAAACGGGAATGAGAATCACGAATTAGGTACAGTTGTTTTTTTCTCTCTTGTACATAAGAGAATCATATCAGCAGTTAAGAGGGTAGAGTTTGTTAGTTGTTGTTATGAATTTTAATATGTTATAATGAAACTGTATTGATGATATGGCTGCCCAATGTGTGTGGAATGGCAAGGTGTGAATTTGACAGTGGTTTTTCCACGGCCTATGTGTGTTGTCTTGACAACTTGTGCTGTCTGCATGAGGCTTGATTATATACAGTAAAACTTGGTTATAGCAACATCGGTTTCTGCGACACCTTGTCTATTGTGTCAAATATTCAATGGTATGAACTAATTCCTCATAAAGCAACTGTTTTTATACCTTGCTTAGTACGACATGCACAAA